CTCATAGAAACAGAGAGTAGAATAGTGCTTGAGGGCAGGGAGAAATGGGAGATAATGATCACAAGGTAAAAAGTTTCAGCTGTACAAGATGAATAAAACCTAGTGATCTACTGTACAGCAGAGTGCCTACAGTTAACAATACTATATCATATACTTAAAATTTTAGCAAACAGGGTACACCTTATGTTAAGTATTCTTATCACAGATAAACTAAAGGAGGGGAAGAAACCTTTATAAGTGAGGGATATGTTTACGGCATTGACTGAGGTGATTGATTCATGTGTGTACACTTGTCTCCAAATTCACCAACTGTATACATTAACTATGGACAGCTTGTTGCTTGTCAATGATATCTGAGTAAAGTGGTTCAGAAAAAAGAACCCTGGAAAGCACAAATATCATCTATTCAGTCACAGAGAAGAAAAATCCCTAAATATTGTAATAGCATTATTGCCAACCCAAAACCAGGTGCAATTTAACATGTAAGAATTGATATAATATATGAAAGTAATTATAAGCAATACTATTTTATTGAGAAGGCCATGCTTTCTGAAAAAGCAGCATATGTCTCAGGAGATTGAATATATTTCCTTTTTTGAGTTTAGAAGGAATGGAATATATGAGTTATATGGCAAGGTCTATTCAAAGGTATTTCTAACAATGTTTTGAGACTGTCAGTGAGGTGAAGGTAGGAAGTAATACTAGGGAAAAAATCACTTTTTGGGACATTCGTAGCCAATGAAATAAGAATTTCTTTATGAATACAGAACTCAAGAGGGAAAAACAAAGCTGGCATCTCTGGCTGTCCTAAAACAGCCTTGAGTTTGCACCCCTAAAAATGCATTCCTCTCTTTGCAGCCTGTCCTCAACTTCTTCCATTTCTGTCAGAAGCACAGGGAAATTCCAATGTTCTCCTGTGTCACTGACCAATGATGAGCACATCAACTGCGGCAGAAGTGGCTGGTTCCTGGGTGACTGTTAGAAACCCATGTATGTCTTTAAGTATTACTCAGCATGCAATACCTTCAGCAAATAAATGGCTTCAGCCTCCTCTATACCTCAGACAATAACAACAAAAAGAATGTAGATGAGGGCGGAGGTTGGGGGTAGGGATGAGGTCAGCGTGGTAACGGGAGAGAGAGAAGAGTGATATGAAGGGAAATCCCCTTCCTGACTCCGGGCTCAGCTTTTTTTTCTCTATGGAGTATCAGTTTGCATCAAGCCCAGCTTAGTGAGCTTACACCCTCTCTCAGACCTGTGGGGGCTAAAAAAGGTGTTTCCAAACTCATGAAGAAATGTTTTATTATATGTGGAAAACAGCTGGAAAATAACAGGGCACTTTATTATTAAAGGTCAGTTATAATCAAATGATTCAGTATTCTGGCTTGGAGTAGTAAGGATGAAGAGATGCAGGAACCAGAAGGTTTTTCTGAAGAACATGAGCCTAAACTTACTTTGGAAACAAACTATTTTGAAAGGCAGAGTGTAAGTATCAACATTTATGACAAGGAGCTTGGAGAAATAAATTGGGCTTGCCCTTCTTAGAAAATCCTGGGAACTTCAAATCTCTTATGGATTTTTCAGAGGTTATTTTATCTTAGGCTTTAATTCAATTCTCCTTTCCTTCCCAGTTATTTAAAAACCTTCATAATAAATTGACTTTATGTTTGGTTGCTTCTGTACATGGAATCTAGGTAGAGAAATCCTTGAAATCAACAGAAAAAAAAATCTCAAAAATGAAATGGTTCTCTTCCTCTTCCCCTTTCCCTGCCCTTAGTAAGCAATGTAGTTTAAAGGTATCAGGTAAGGCTGAGCCAGGTAGGCATAGAAATGTGGGGGGTGTAGGGATACATCTCAATGTAAGGTACTAGAGTCCATGTATGGTGAAGGTGGCATCCACATAGGAGTCATAACCCAAGAAGGATAAGTAGGATATCCATGGACAAGGGCATCCTGGTGTGGGTGGGAGAGCCTAAGCAGGATCAGTAAGACTTTCACAATGGAGGGAGGCCAAAGGGGCTGCCAGGGAGAGTGAGAAGGGTACCCACACAAGCATATGGATTGAGGTTCCCTGCAGGGAGCTGGGCCAGGGGGAAGTATGATGTGTCAGAGCCCAAGAAAGATACAGAGGTCATCACCATAGAGGATAGTGTAGTCTGAGCTGGTAGGGGAGGAGGGTGTCTGCGTGGGAGAGTGGCCTGCTGTGGGTTTCAGAGTCTAAGTAGGTTGAAAAAGGCATCCACATAGGTGGGAAGCCCTGCACAAGGATTCTGTGTCCAAGAGGGATGAAGGGGGCAATCTAGTTGAATGCTGTAATCTCTACAGGGTGAGAAGGGCAGCCTCATTGGGAGCATTAAAGCCTATGAGGCACCAGAAGATGTAGTTAGTAAAGGATATTTGAGCCCAAGTGGTGTTAGATAGGGATCTGTTTAGGGATTAGGACAGTGACTATAGGAGATTAGTTATAAATGGAGAAGATGATCAAATAATAAGTGTATTCAAAATGCCAGAAGCCCATTTTCTCACTGTTGGAGAAAAAAGAATTACAAATATGAAAAGGAAGAAAACTAGAATGAACCATGTGGGGTGAATTGGAATTATAGGTACTGGCATGAAAATATGGATTTTAATATATATAAATAAATACAGATGAAAATGTGTGTAACACACATACACAAATACAAATATTCTTCACTAGCTCTGTTCATTGAGAGGACGTAGGAGGACTGACAACCCCAAAACAATGAGCACATCTAGCTTCCAGATCCTGGTTTCTAAATATCATTCTTTACTAAAAAGGACCAGAACTCCTTAAAGAAATAGCTGATTCCATAGCTGGAGTAGGAAAAGTACAAAATGAGCCTGGAACATCTTGCTGTGCCATAAAGTAAAGAAGTGCTTAAAGAATGATGGAGTTGTATCAAAAAGATACAGAAGCCAGAATGAAGGGACTCTGGATGGTCTCTTCCAGACAATTTGGACATCTAAAATAAGTAATGGTAGCATTGCATTTTAATCTATTGAAGAAAATAGGAATCCATAAGACTATGGTAATATAAATAAGTGAAAAAATAAATAGAAAGTTTGGTGAGGAACAGGCTATTTACTTAGTCTCAATACATTTTGCCCAAAATGCATATGAATTATTAAAGAAAAATAGTAACTTTACAGTGGACTAGTTTGGGTGATATCACATTAATGAAATGATCAAAGTAGCACCGTCAACAATGTTACAAATCAAAATCGTCTGTCACCAGATAAGATGCAATGAGAATACAGCATCACTTATAAGCTATGCCTGCCAAAGAACAATCTGAGTCTAATCATGATGAAACACCACAGAAAATCACTGAACAACACTCTACAAAATAACAAGTCTGTAATCTTCATAAGCGCCCAGGTCATGAAAGTTAAGAAGACTAAATAAAGATGGAGGCAAACTAAAAAGACACAACGCAACATGTGATTCTGAACAAAGGTCATCCTTGGGACAATGGCTGAAAGTTCAATGGGAGGATGGTAGAATATGTCAGTGTTAATTTCCTGATTTTTATGGTTGTTTTGTGATTGTATTGGAGAATGTCCTTGTTTGTTAAGAATATACACTGAAGTCTGCAGGTATAAAAGGGCATCCCCTGGACTGCTTACTCCCACATGTTTCAGAAAAACATGAGTGTTGCAATTTTGACATAAGTTTAGATTATTTCAAAGGTTTAAAATATAGTAATACAGACTCATTGGTCATACCACATGTGCTAGGCTGGTAAGGGTCTTGCTGACAAAGGCCTAAAGTGAAGTCTTTCCTGGGTGACCGGGGAGTGAAGGACACAGGACTGCAGGGCGTCATAAAATGGGAAGACGTGTCACAGCACAGCCTACTCCCCCCAAGAGGCTGAAGGAATGGTGCATCTGTGTATTTCACAGCAGAGGTGTCCTGATGTATGTGCAGGGCAGTGCTTTCTAGTTCTGAGTCATCAGGTAAAATGAGCTTCCTCTGACCTTTTCAGTAAAAATGATTTTTGAAAAAGCCCTTCTGTCTCAAGCCTATTCCCATGTAGGTGAGCTCTAGAAGTTAAGAGGGGAGGGGAGCAACCTTGAGTTTGGAAAGTTAAAATCTGGTGTAACCTCAGCCTCTCTGAGAATCCTTCCTCGCCTCCTCACTGGTTGCTGTGAGCGTCAAATGAGATAGATGTGTGAAAACTGTGAAGGGCTATGTAATTGCTAGTGTCACAAAGGCTGCTGCCCACCGTCAGCGCTCATACAAGGCAACATTAAGAAACAGGTGAGGCTGTTTTCTGCTGCCTTTTCTCAGTTTCCTGCCTGTTTTCCTTTCCCTCACTTCTTGTGGCCTTCTGAACCTACCTCCAAGCCAGTGTTCTCAGCAGCCCTCTGCTGCATTACTTTGCCTTGACCCACTGGATGTATCACTTCCATATCTTTATTAAAATTCTAAGTGCTCCGCCTGCAGAGGAAACCATGTACCTCAGTCACACATTTACCACATACCAGGCCTTAGAAGCAATACAAAAGATACATGAGACAAAGTCCCGGTTCTTGGAAAGCTCACACTCCAGCTGAACTCCTAAAATTCCTGGGCTGTATTTGCATTTTAGAGGAGAGCTCTTGAAGAGATAATATTTTCATGCCAAGGCACAAACATCCAAGGGAGCTATTAAGCCATACGACAGATGAGCGTCATCTGGTAGAGCATGGTATTGGGGGGTCGGGGAAGCACTAAGATGGATGGCTGCTGGAAAGGGAACCATTCTCAAAACAACCTTTCTCTGCTTCCTCACCTGCAAGTAAAAATATTCATGATACCTACCTCATGAGATTACTGGAGGATTAAAAGACTGGTTAAATACAATCTAAGTGCTAAGAGTTACATAAAATTAAGAAGCTGTGGAGTTTCAAGCAGCAAATGACCCTGCTCCAAGTAGAAAAGAAGGTTGAAGAAAAGCAGGAGGCACTGGAGAAAAAGGAGGAGGAGAAACACTGACCTGTTTTCAGTTTCCTTCCTCTGTTTTCCTTTCCCTTTGCCACAGGATCTCACATTTAAAACCTTAAAGAAAAAAGAAACCTTAAGAAATCCTAAAGTAATTTAAAACCTTACATAGTGATTATAAAACTTTAAATAAGCTGCCTATGAAATAGCTTTGCCCATGGCAAAGCCTATTTGCTTGTAAGGTGTCATATGTACATATACTTACTGAAAGAACCGGAAAATGAGGTCTTGGCTAACATGGCGCAATACCAGTGGTTTTTTGGTTTCAACCATGTAAACATTAATATTCACTCTCTCAGACACAAATACTCACAGAACTATCAATTTGGGACCGAGGACACAGGGTCTAGAGGAGTGCATCCAACTTCACTCCATCCATGATGTCAACTCGCCTGCAGCAAAATCTTCAGGGTTGCTTCCATGGCACATTTGGCTTCACTATTCCTACGTATTACTATTTAGAGCCATGCGTCTCTACAGCTGGGCAAGTGGCAGGAGCAATTGTAAGAGGGTGAGCACGAATTCCCTTGTTTGTTTTTCCTCTCTGAGGAGGGCAGGAAGCAGGGTGTGGAAGGTAAAAAATAGCATGCATAATGGAGAACACTACAATGGATGTCTTCCTGTGACACTCTTGCCCCAAATATTTGGCAGGGAATTTTACCATTTAAGGCATGATTCAGCAACCCCCTCCCTGCAGCCTCTGTCTTCCACAGAAGCCAACCCTCCCCCAAGTTAAAATCAGCCATGGTGCGGGCTTCTTTATCAACAGTATTGATAGCTCCAAAATGCGTACAGTTATAGACTTGAAGTTAATAATCTCAGCTCATTAAACACTATTTATTTATATTTAGTTACTTAGGTATAAATTAAACTATGCTGGTCTAAAGAAAGCAATGGTAATAATTTGTAATAATAGCTAACTATTGAGCAGTTATTATGTGCTAGATACTGTGTATTATCTTCTCTGATCTTTACAAAAATCTATGAATTATATATTATTATTCCCATTTTACAGATAAAAAACTGAGACTTGGAAGAATTAAGTAACTTGCCCAAGTTCCATAGCTAGTAAAAAGCAGAACTGAAACTTTCATTCAGACAGACAGTTAAAATTTTAAACTCTCATTCTTAACCACCATTTTAGTAGGCTAGGTTTAATAATGTGTTTTAGTAGAAAATGCAGCAATATTTGGAAGAAATAACTTTAAAAGCACTTTCTGTGATTTTTTTTAAACTTTGGATTTTGAAATAATTTTAGATTTATTTTGTAGTGGCAAACATAGTATAGAGAAACACTCTTCCTCCACTTCCCTTAATGTTAATATAATCACGGTCCATTTATTGAAACAAGAAATCAACATTGGTTCAACACTATTAACTAAATTACAGACTTCATTCAGAGTTCCCAGTTTTTCACTGATATCTCTTCCCCATTCATAGATCTAAACCATTTAGTTGTTAGTCTCCTCCAATCTGAAATAGTTTCTCAGACTTCCCCTATTTTTCAGTAACTGCTCAGGCATTTTGTAGAATGACCCCTAATTTGGGTTTTTCTAAGGATTAAACCAAGGTTAGGAATTTCTGGGGAAAGATGACACAGAGGTTAAGTGCCCTTTCATCACTCCATTATCAGTACGTGACATCAACATGACTTATCACTGGTGATGTGAACTTTGATCACTTAGTAAGGTAGTGTCTGGAAGGTTTCTCCACTGAAGAATGAAGTTACCGTTTCCCCCCTGTGCGTACTCTACTTGTCAGAATCAAGTCACCAAGTCCAATCCGCACTCAAGGAGTAAGAACTAACATTCTGTCTTCTGGAGAAAGAAGTATCAAAGAATTTGTGGACGTAGCTTAAAACCACTATGGCAATTCGCATTTGGGGAGTTTCTTTGAAACTGTATGAATATTCAGTTTCTCCTTAAAGTTTTCCCCATTAATTTTAACAACCATCAATGCACTTTGCCTGCAGTAATTATTATTTGGTTTTGTAGTAGTGATTTCCCTCATTGCATCCACCTTCATAGTTCAGAATTCCTCTGTAAGGGAGATTTTTCCATTCTTCCTCATTTATTTATTTGTTTATTTATTCAATCATTCAGCTCAAGATACATAAATTCAGTAAATATAAAATCAGTATGTGTAAACTACATATGATAGACTCATAGATATTTATTTATTCGTTTAAACATTTTATCTAGAAATAACTTAAGATCTATAGAAAGTTGCAGAGTTCCCATCGATCCCTCACCCAGTTTGTTTCCCTTAATGCTCTCAGCTTACATTACTGTGATGTATTTGCAAAACTAAGAAACTGACATTGGTGCATCAGTGTTAACTCTAAATTTCAAGCTCTACTTGAATTTCACTAGTTTGCCTATTAATGTCTCTTGCTGCTCTAGAAGTCAATTCCGTATTGCATTTCACTGTCATTTCTCCTTAGTCTTCTCTGGTCTATGATTTTGTTGATGAAGTAGTGATAAGTGACAGTTAAGGTCCATACAACAAAGGCACAGGATTTAGAACTATAAATGGTTCCTTTCTTCCCCATCATATTCAGGAAGGTTAGGTCAGGCTCCTATAACACAGTTTGGTTCATTTGACACAATCTGCATTTCATCCTGGGATCTCTTCAATATCCTGGTTGATTTTTTAAAATTTGTGTACCCTGACGTTTACTCTTTGTGGCATACATGCCTATAGGTTTTAGAAAAAGCATAGAGTAATGTATCTACCAACACAGTAGCATACAGACCAGTTTCATCACCCCCAAAATTCCCTTGCGCAGCTCATTTGAAGTCAAGCCCTCTTACTTTCTCTAATCCTTGGCAACAAATGATCTGTTTTCTATTTCTATCATTTTTTCTTTTCTAGAATGTCATGTAAGTGGAATCATACAATATGTAATCTTTGGGGCTGTAAGGAGTGCAGAGAGCATCAAGAGTCAGGAAAAAGAACTAATAAAACTTAGCTAAACCTTAACAGCAGACCATTCCGGAATAGTAAGAGATTCAATGTCTAAACTTAGAGAGAGGCCAGATCAAAGGAAGAGAGAGTGAGAGGCCAGCCAAGGGCTATTTGAATTCTGGTTTACTAAATCCCCATGGTTTACAACCCTGATATCCACCCTGGCAGGGCCCTTGCTTATTTTTATACTGCTTCTCACTTTAGGTCCCTGTATCTTAAACCGGCTAATAGCCTTTGTTAGGGAAAGAGTGAGTGCTGTTCAGGTGCTAATGCTGAGACCGCAGTATCATTCACTCACACAGCAGGAAGAAACAAACATTCCATGATTGGAATGGTCAAAGGAAAGTGGGGAAATGTAGAATCTAAGCATTAGTAAGATTAGTAAATTAGCATAAGCATAGCCATCTTAGAAACCTAGAAACCATTTTCTGAGAGTGTGACTCAGAGGAAAAAAAAAAAAAAAAAACAAACCCTGGGCCTGGGTAAGGCCTTGAAAAACAAGTTAATCATGAGCACCGGGTGGTGGGCAGCTGTGACCCTTGGTCAGCTAACCTTGGTCAGTAAATCTTACATACCAAGCTTATCGTGCAGAACCTCCCTAACCATTGAGGAGTAGTCTTACCCTGCCCTTGCTTAACCCCAGGATATATGTCTTGCAAGAATAATGTATAGTTATAGAAAATTGCTATGAGTTAAGTGCTTTGAAATTGCTATATAAACCCTTGGCTCTGAGTGCTCGGGGTCCTTGTTGAGACCCGCTGCATCGGGCTGACTTGGACCCCAGCTAGCTGGCTGAATAAAGACTTTGCTTGAATTTACATCTCTATGCCTGTGTAGTTTGTTCTCTGGAAAAGCCTCGGAAGCCCAGACCCTAACAGGGGTATGGCCTTTTTCACTTAGAAAAATGCATTTAAGATTTTTTCCATGTTATTGCTTAAATCATCACAAAGCAAACATTTTAATTTCGATAAAGTTTAGTTTATTAATTGTTTTCTTTCTTGGATTACATTGTTGGCATCATACATAGAACTTATCCCCAAATCAAAGAACTTATAGGTATTTTCCTTATGTTACCTTTTAGAGTGTTATAGTTTCATCCCTTCCATTTAGATTTATGATCCATTTTGAGTTAATTTTTGTGCATTGTGTGATGTAAAGGTCAAAGTTTACTTTTTGCATAAGGAGAACCAGTTGTTCTAGAACTACTTATTAAAAAGACTGTGGTTTCCTTATTGTATTGCCTCGACATCTTTTCTTGAAAATCAATTGGCCATGTAGAGGTGGGTATATTTCTGAGTTCCCTTATCTGTTCTATTGATTTGTAGGTCTACTTATTCAATATTCCATTGTCTTCATTATGGTAGCTTTATTGTTATAGCTTTATAGTCATATAATTCTTAAAATCAGGAAGTATAAGTATTCTAACTTTGTTCTTTTTAAAAACTGTCTTGGCTATTACAGGTCTTTGGCATTTACGTGCAAATTTTAGAATCAGCTCTTCAATTTCTACAAAAGAGTTTGACAAGATTTTGGTTGAGATCACACTGAATTTTTGGATAATGAGCTACATTGATTACATTCAATTACACTGAATTTTTGGAATCAATTTTTGGATAATTAGTATCTTAAAAATATTGAGTCTTCTGATCCATGAACATAATATATCTGTTCTCTTGTTTAAGTCTATTTAATTTCTCTGAGAATAAAGTGTTTCTTGAAGATGAAATAGTAATAAGTGACAGTTAAGGTCCACACAACAAAGGCACAGGATTTAGAACTATCTAAGGCATTTTCATGGGGTGACAAATAGCTTCGTTATTTATTTCCAAATCCTCTCAGGGAAATGAAATTTAGTTATTGCTCTCATAATGATAACCCAAAGTCATTAAGAGAGTTTGAAAGACTCTTTAGTGTGTTGTTTAATAAGGCAACACAGCACATACATTTTTAGAAGTCTTTTAATAATGATAAAAATAAAATAATGCACAGTGCTTAAAAGAGTACATGTCAGTCAAATAAAAAATTTACTACAATGACACACTTGATTTCCAATTATGCCAAAAGATTGAGGTACATCTACAAATGTCATCTGATCTAGATAGTTTCAGAAGTAAGATAGTGAGCCAGGTTTCTCCTTCTGCCTGGGGAACTCCCTGAGAAGGAGAGTAAGAGTTTTTCTTTTACTATATTCAGGGCTTTGCAGGGTGTTCTTTGATCTTGTTTGTGACTTCAGAAAGGGACTGACAATGTGCAGGTGCCTCTAAGAACTTCCCACAAGAAACGCAATCTGTTTTCTCTCAGCTTAAAAAAAAAGGAAGCCCTGGGTTTCTTGTAGATGTACTCTGGTTTCATAAAGCAGAGATGAAACTTGTCAGATTTATTTTTCTTACAAGAGGAGGTTAATCTCCTTGGACTTTATACCTTTGGTAATTGGGAGACCCAACCAAGATAGACAAGAGAGTTTAAAAGAGAACAGTTGAGGATCTTTATTCATTTTGGACAATTGTTTCATGAGCCACA